TCATCGACGTCCGATAACGACACATCGCCTGTAACACCCATACAAACGCCACATCGTAATGTGATTGTACGCAATGAGAATGTTCGTAAAAAGAAGGAACTGGTCAAGGATGAAGCTTACTGGGAGAGGAGGCGTAAAAATAATGATGCGGCAAAGCGAAGTCGCGATTCGAGACGTCAAAAGGTCTCGATCATCGCGAAAACCTTAAATTCGATCTCTTAAATTTCTTGATTAATTCGTTTATTCATTTCACAAAGTTCACACAAACAGCAAACAGATCTAATCAGAAATCAGAAACATTTCTGAACAAAATATTGGGAACTATTTAGGAACGGAATAAGGTCCTCAGAAAGTGAAATGTAAAAATTAAAAAAATTTAAGCAAGTTCAAGCTTCAACAACACCTAGTTTCATCGTTGTTGCTGAATTTTGTTGCCTGTTAGCTGAATTTTGTTCAGATGAATTCGACTAAAACTGCTTAAATGCCCCAATATTTCATTGGTTTCTATCATGAATTATATGTTCTTGGGAATTCATAGAAAGTTGTGTCCAAATACTATTACATCTTTTAATTTTTTTTCAAGTAACGTTCATTTCACTCGTAACGCGAACAACATTTGAGAATAATACGTTCTGAAAACCGCAACATTCCATTAGACAGATTAAACAAAGAAGTCATAAACTATAAGACATGTTGGCAGTTTTGCATGAAAATTACTGCAGAAATGGTAGAGGAATTCATAGCGAGTCAATAAGTAATGCAATGAATAATATTGTCTTTTCCATTAGGCAAATGAGCTTGAACAGAAGAGTGCAATAAACCTTGTACGACTTAAGTAATTCAGAATGCTTTTTTGATGTATTACCCTTTTATATGATTACCTCTTTTATTACTTCTTGCTGAAATTCGTAAGCTGAAGACTGCTTCCATTGGTTTCTTGATGCATTGAATAAATCAACTCTGAGCAATGGGCAAATTTCTACAGAATGGCTCTCAGAATATATGAGATCCCAGCTACTAATTCAATTCGAAAGTATTTCAGTTAATGACGGTCTAGTCATTCTTAAAATTAAATTCATAATATCGCACATACAACTCATTCAATCCCATGAAGTTCATGGCAAGAACAATTGAAAATTTGTGGCTCAAACATTTGAGATTTTATGTTTTGCTTTTAAGGAGGATGAGATGGCGGTCCGTGCGGCCGTTCTTGAGCAAGAGAATCTGCGGCTACGACTTGAAGTCGAGCAACTTCGTGCCGAAACCGAACGTCTACGTGTCCTAATGCTATCGCCAAGCATTCTTCCAGCTCCCACTCCGATCCTCACCACTCAATCCACTATTATTCATACACCGCAACCGGTTATTGTCGCTGCACCATCGTCCACAACCACCAATTTATCACCGTCAACTCGGCCGCAAAGCCCCACTCCTATCCAGGCGCCCCTTTCAATAACTTTGCCTGCCTCGAGTCCTCCAACACAACAGCAACAAGCACTATTTGCACAATAAGCCCCCCTCCTCTCCCCAGTTCAAGTCTTTCACAGCACTCACTACCAGATAATTATCATTATTTCACTCTAATGCCTAATAACAGGTTTTATGGTACTCTATTCTTTCGATTATTGTATTATCGTTTTAGTCTGTATTGTTGTTGTTTTGTTATCGCGTACAGTGTAAATGAATGAATGTGAATGCATTAAAACACATTATTCATCTAAACTCACAAATAGTCTCCAAATGAAAATTTCTTCTCATCTAATGCATTTATATTCATTTGCACTTATTTTCACTTTTGATTCTGTCGAATTACTTCAAAAAATTAAATAAACTTTCAGTTTTGAAACAACCCAAAAATTGTCTTTCTGCGGATGTTTGCAAACAATAATAACTTATTTATTCATCTTGATTTGTGCATATGATAGATTATTCATTTACTTTGTAATACAACACTTAAAAATGTTCGTGTTTATTGTTTAGGTGATCGTTTGTTCTGTGAGTTGTCTGTCTATGCCAACAGCATAAAGTGGCAGCACTTCAAGATAATTGTTTTTTTGATGGGAGTATCCCATTTTCCAATTGGACTTTTCCGCCTTCGAATGTGATGATGAATGAGTTGGCGACCGGTGAATATTGTATAGCACTGAAGGGAATTCGTTTTTCCATTTTACCAACTAAAATGCCTATGTGGAATCGGTTTTCATGATCTTCGGAAGTCGTTTGCTTTCATTTTCAAAAAATTGCTAATATAGATTAAAATTTACCGATAATTTCCTTAAGAGACCCTCATAATTCTTAGTAATTTCAATGACTCATTTGGTGTACCCAATACAAAATGAAAACCTTTTATGAGTAACTAAGAATTTCGAAATCGAAAACGGATTCACTTCAACCCATAATGCCCATCGATTGCTGACTATAACCCGAAATGATAAAATGTTTGTGAATCATTTTCATATTTATTCTTATTGCCTTCTATATTGCCGATAAACTTTCATGCATTATTGGAATTTTTTG